GCACAGCTGTGCACCCGTGGGCTGTGCCGGGCAGGGAGGAATGTGTCTTGTGTCCTGTGCAGCCATGGGGGAACAGGGACAGCTCTGCTGGGGGTGGCACCTGTACAGTGACATGGGTTATTGCTCAGGGAAAATGATCCACAGTTTGGTTATTGCTCAGAGGATCCATGTTCAGGTTATTGTTCAGAGAAACGGACCTCTGTGGCAGCAGGGAGGCTCCCAGGAAGATGGGAGAGCAGGGAAGAGGCTGGCAGGAGAGGCAGCTCCCTACCTGCTGCTGGAAGACACAACTTGGGATTTGGTCCTGAGGGACTTTGGTCCTGAGGGCAGAGAGGGGCCTCAGGCAGGAGCCGCTCTGCCTCCCCCACCTGCAGAGCTGCCCTTGGATTGCATAAGGAGTCAAAATCCAGTGCTGCGAGAGCAGAGGGGCTGCGGGAAAGGCAGATTCCCAGGGCCTCTCCTCTGCCAGGCACCTGAGAGCACCCAAGGCACTGTGGCATAGCCAGGCTGGTGAGGGGCCAGGCCTGTGCTCCCTGAAAGAGGAAATAGCTGAGTCCACAAAGAGCTGCAGGAGCCAGAGAAGTGGTGGAGAAACTGAAGGAGTGCTGCTGGAGGAACTGGAGTGCTGCTGGAGAGCCGCAGGGCTCACAGGACGATCTTGAAGGAGCTGCAAGAGACACGACAGCTTATGCACATCCTTGCTGGGTCACACATAAAGGGTTTGTGAGCTCCCAGTGCTGCACTCCCACATGGGAGAGGCTCTGCAGAGCCAGCTTGGGATGCAGTTCCCTCTGCCATTATGGGATGCAGCGCTGCCCTCCTGCCACTGCAAGCTCTGCCCCAGTGCCAGCTCTGTGACTGGGGCAGCAAGCCCTTAGCAGAGCCCTCCAGACAGCTCCCCAGGACAAGCTGTGCCACTGGACACTACAGCACCTGGCAAAGTCTGGAGAGCGGGAGACGACGTGCTGGAACTCAGAGAGGTTGATGGTGCCATCCCTGTCAATGTCAGACTCCTCCAGGATCTGTGGGGAAGGTAAGCAGTGAGCTCTGTGCCTGGGGCTGTGCAGTGCCCATGTCCTGCCTGCCAACCCTCACATTTTGGATGAGCTGCTCCATCTCTGCACTGCTCAGCCGGGACTCCTCGCTCTGCCCCGTCAGGCAGTTCACCAGTTGCTCCAGGTCCTTCCTGTCCAGAGTCCCATCATCGTCAAAGTCTGTGGAGACAGCAAAGGTGAGTTTTGGCAGGGCCATAGCGACCCCAGAGTCACAAGCACCAGCACTGCACTGCTCCATGCACATCACCATGCCAAACCAGCAGTTCCCACAGGCAGTTCCTAAAGCCAGCACCCCTGTGGGTGCTCCAAGGGCACTGCCAGCCCTTCTGAACATGGTTTCATCCCTCCATCCCCTCTTCCCAAGGTGCAGGGGCCTCAGGACACAGTACCCACCCCAGGCCTTACCAAAGATGCGGAAGGCATAGTTGGATTTGACATCGGAGGTGGCAGAGTCGCTGAAGACACTCAGCATGTCAAGGAAGTCTTCGAAGGACATGCTGTCATCCTCGGCCTCTGAGGTGGAGAACACATGGCAAATCCGGTGCTGAAAGGGGTTTGCCTGCGGACAGGGAAGGGCTCAGGCAGGGCTGGGCTGTGCTGGCTCCCTTGGGCACACACCAGCCCTGGCTGCTGCTGCAGGGCAGCA